ATATAGAAAAATGTCGAGAAAAAGCGTGGAACTCCTTTAAAAGTATTTTTTTCGGAATTTTTTAGTTTTCAGAAATGTAAAAAAGGTCTAGAAACATGTTTCCTGAGAAACATCAGACCAGTTCTATTGAAGGTTTTGGAGGATCAGTCCTTTTTTCTGAACATACCAATAGATATATTTCGTCAACCTAGATTGTATGTCAATTAAATTGAATAATTTTTATTTTCTTCTACTCATGGAATACAACAACTTCCATGACACTATCCTAACAGAACGAAATCATACTAACGACTCTGCCCTGATAACTGAAAAGATTTGTCGTTATACTGCCTTTTACAAATGAGACCAAAGAATCGAAAGAGACATTACTATCGAAATGATAGATTTTCTATTTCTGTTTAAGGACATCTCTAGATATAGAGTCTTGTTCATAAATGTTGTGACTTCACACGAATAAGATTACGAGATGAATCATTGGATATTAGAAAATATCGACTGTCCATCAGTGCTTCTTTATTTTTTTTTTAATCTATCATAATGCCGCGACGAAAAAATTGGGAACATCCGGTAAAGCATGATAAATCTGTATGTGTACCAAAAGGAGTAAAGGCTGTGTCATCCGAATTATCGAAGTTTTTGATCAGTCAGTATGACGTAGCTTACACCCGAATTAGCTGGTTATGTCCAAGATGTTATACATTTGAATCGAAGAAAATGATGACTCATCGATCAAAGCAGGAGAACAACAATGAAAGTTCTAGTGATGATGAATCAATGACACAAGGTTCCCCTGTTAATGATAATAAAAATGATGATGATTTTGTCGATGTGGAATTCAATGATCTGAGTGAAGAAGAGAAAGAGAATCCTCATATGGATAGTGGTATCTTAGCTGAGTCAAATGACGATGATGAATCGCCACCTGTCGATGAAACAACTGATCATGAATCGATGGAAGAAGAGACAGATCATGATTTCTATGAAATCGAACACCAAAAAAACAAATCAATGAAAGAATTATCAAAGATATTCGATCTATTGAACATAGAACCGATTCATGACAGGTTAGTTTGTAAATTTAATTCGAAATTTTTAAAACGAAATTTGTATTTAGATCAGCAGTATTGTCCATTCGAACCAAAGTCAATGAGGTGTATAGAAAACTCAATCGTTTATGCGACATACTAGATGGCAAGTCTCAAGTCTCGCACGATCCAAATCCTCACGGACTAACGATATGTGAATCAAATGAAGTTTTGGATGGTTTGAAGAAGTTATACGGTGACAGTGATGCGAATGAACAAGTTCGCTTGATGACAATTGCTCCCAAAGAGTGGGGTCGACAAAAAAATCGAAAAATGGTGCGTATTTTTTTCTCATGTCGTTCAATATCTTCGCATTTTTTCAAAAAATCTTACCGAAAATTTCTTTCACTTATCAGGTTTGCATCAAAGCCAAATCAAGCTCGACGATCGCTTGTTCTTCGAAAAAACGATGGAATTTTAGCTTATCCACAATGTCTGCGGGAAAGTAATCGTCCTTTATCTAACTCAACAATTGATCTTGTGATCAAGTTCTATTGTGAAGATGGTATCAGTCGAGTCTCATCCAATTCCAAAGACACGATCAAAATCAACGGACAATCAGTAGCAGTTCGGTTTCTAGAAATGACTGTCTTGGATGCCTACCAAATATTCAACGAACGTCATCCTGATACTGTTTCAAGATCAACTTTCAATGCTCTACGTCCACGAGAAGTGAAGACTGCAACACCACATGACACATGCATGTGTATTACCCACGAAAATATGGATCTATTATTGAAGGTTTGTGCTAGCCGTATATTGATTCGAATGTAACTTAACTTCATTATAGGCTTGGAACAATTACTACCGAAAATGTGCCGATGTAAGTTCTTTCTCAGCTAGTAACAAGATCAATATGAAGGATCTGATCACTCAAATGGTTTGCACTATTTCGAATGAAAAGTGCTTTAATGGTGAATGTGATGCTTGTCCAGAAGAAAACATCAGAGATATTCTCACTGATAACATTATGTTGGATTTGGATGACGAATGTTCATGGTCTTTATGGAAGAAAGTCAATAATAAGTTCGATCTTCAGCAGATGTCTGGCTCGGTTGACTCTATTAACGGAAATTGAAGAAAAATGGTCTTCATTCTTGCTTCACACGCACATTAATCGTGAACAACGTGAATATATCAAAGACTTACGCTGTCAATCAACGGAAAAGACTTTTGCTGTGGCTCAGATAGATTTTTCAATGAATTACACACTCATACGTCAGCGTGAAGTTCAACAAAGATTTTTTAGTTACCATCAAGCCACCTTATTTACAAGCCATCTGACCATTGGAAAAGAACAGCGAAATTTGGCGATCATTAGCAATTATATGGAGCATACAACATCATTCGTGCATTGTGCACAGAAAATTCTCGCCGCATTTATCAAGAAAAACTTTCCATTGGTAAAAAAGATCAATTATGTGAGGTAAATCTTTTTTTAAATAGTTTATGTACTATGTCAACTCTCGTCGTTCATTTAGTGATGGTGCATGTGCACATTTCAAGAACAATACCAGCATTTTAAACCTAATTCATCATAAGATAGACTTCGATTTGGATGCTTGTTGGACGTTCACAGCTACAGGTCATGGTAAAGGTGCTGGCGATGGTATAGGCGCCGTACTGAAGTCGGTCGCCAGACGTGCTACACTTTCAAAAAACATTCTCATGTCAAATGCAAAAGACTTCTACGAATTCTCACAAAAATAACAACTTGAAACGGCAAGAAGATCTAACAAAGATATTCCTGGTGTTCATGTCTTCTTTCTTGAATCAAATGAAGTAGAAAAAGCGAAGAACACTTTTCTGAAAGCTAGAAGCGAAAAACTTCGAACAACAGGTGAGAAAAGCTTTTGCTTTTGTTCCCTTATGTCTGTATTAATTTAGGTACAATACAAGGAATTCGATCAATGCATGAATTCAAACCGATTAGCAACTCAATGGTTCAATGTAGTTCGACATCTCGTTCAACAAAGACCAGGACATTTACATTTAAATAAAAGTCCTTTTTCTACCTTTTCTAGTCGATCAGATTTTTTAAAATTAGACTTGAGGATGATACTCAATATTCAGATAGATTGAACAGCTCTCTTCATTACCACCTTATATTAGATTTCTGTAGTCTTGTGTGTCCTCAGGAAACATGTTTCTAGACCTTTTTTACATTTCTGAAAACTAAAAAATTCCGAAAAAAATACTTTTAAAGGAGTTCCACGCTTTTTCTCGACATTTTTCTATATATAAAAATACACTGTAGGTGTTCCGAGAAAATGCTCAAAAACTCGGAGTTTTTGGGTAAGAGTATTTAATTTTTTTTAACCAAAAGTGTTTTCTAGTCGAGATCAACCTTTTGAACAAAAAAAATCGAATAAAAAGACCTTTCCAAAAAGTGGATGGGTCCTCATGGATTCACCCATGTATTTCGTGTTTCAATTTTGTTGTTTTCCCGGGTTTGTCCGTAAATACATCCGGGTATGCTTTCAGTAATTCTTCCAATCTTTCTTTTTGGTCATTTGTCAGTTCTGTATTAGAAAGATCAACATCGTGGTTACCTTCATTCGCCACAGTCTCGTGTTGTTCGCGTTTAGCTGTTGTGAGTTCATTCGTGACATCACCGCGAGCTTCTGACCTGCAGCAATACGAATTGTTGCTTTGGACAGGTTCGCCGTTTGAATTTGAAGATATTCTTTCGGTGAGATAATTCTATTTGCAACGTATGGTTGTGCCAACCGACACGTCCATCTAAATATCATATCTTATGAGTTATCATTTAGAGATGTCAGTTATAAGTTAGTGTCCTTGTGTAATGTTCTTTTCTTACTAATATTCTCATTATGAATATTACCTTGTACTGTCACTGCTTGGTCTCTTCTCTTTTCTCTTCTGTATAAAAGATTATGTTCTGTATTGTATACGATACATTTTGGAGTATGATACAATGTAGTTAATATCTTCTACATTGAAGAATAGCGATAGTGCTATTCCTCCAATCTGTCTTTGTGATCACAAATAATAAAATAAAGAAGAAATGTGCTGCAGCTGAAATGAAATAACATTCATTTCCATTTCTATATTCCGTTACACTGTTGTTGTAGAAGAAATCTTGATGAATGATTTAAGCAAGAAGGATAATATAAATATACATGTTTTACTCCGCCATATGGACAGTGGAATAAGATGAGCATAGTGATTCTCACCGAAAACGGCCACTTCGGGTACAGCTGTCATCAGTATTCTGGATTTACCTCGCAAAATCAGTTGTTTGAGTAATAGGAACTGGGGTGTCAAATAAATCAACAATAGCCTGAAATGAAACAACGAAAGCGAGAAATTTATTTGGATACTTTCCCCTGAATAAACAAAACGGCGATGACAGAACCAGCAAAATCTGCACGGTAGAATGAAAACAGTGATGTGACAAATAAAAATATTTCGACTGATACTGACCGATTAGAACTAAAAGTCTTTGAATTTCAAAGTTCAATTCATCCTCTTCTGACATCAATCAATAGCGGTGAACTAGCTTTTGTTGAAAAACAACGTTCAGCACATTCAAATATTCAGTGGTATCCAGATAGTGTTGATCAATATCGTCGACATAAATTATTTGACAAACCTAGTGAACAATGGTGGTTTTGTATACCCAAAGCGTTTTGGAAATGAAGACACAAATGAATTGAGGGCATATAGACATTCTTCATGAAGACTATAACACTCATACAAAATTTAGGCTCGCAACGATAGTTTGTTAACGAACTTATCTAATAATAAGTAGAAATACATCAATCAACGTTGATTCTTAAAAATACATTGTGACTTATTCAATCTTCTTAGATATTAGAGTCATGAAGCAATGTCTGGATGGCTATTGCCGATCAATAGTTACATTTATCATCGATAATTTCCATCAATCTAATTGTTGATGAAATCCCAGGATATATCAATTTGTCGGTTCATTGTTGTCTCATTCCTCCATTGAGGGTGAGAATACATTGACATCTATATTTTATATCCTCAGAATGAACCGACAATCCATAAATTGAAGACGTGTTCTTATGTTCATTTCATTGGTTATGTATAATAATATTCACAATGACCAATCAAACACAACGGCCGGGAACAATGCGTCAGGTTAGATAAAAAAGAATATGCACGGAGTGGATAGGTCAAACGACGAACATAACAATGAACCGTAAGCGTGCACGTGTTAATACTAGTGTTATTAATGAATATGATTGTTTTGTCTTAGGGACGACGAGCTTCTTGTCGTTATCAAATGAGCTGTTTTACCATCATATCTTCATCTATCTGTGCTCGATCGACATTTTCGAGGCATTTTATGAAACTGGAAATATCCGTCTAGCTTCTCTGGCTCGAATGTACATTAGACATGTTGATTAGGCGACTGCGTCTATTGTTGCTGCACATGAGTGGATACGTTTCACAGAAGATCGAATTTTATCGCTTCGCATCAGCAGCGATCATCTCGATGATCGTCTTTTCTCAATTCTGTCGAAACTCACCCGTGTCGATTTGCTGATGACAGCGTCACCAAGCAATGCACCGGATATCACTTATTTGATTACAATGAATAAATTAAAATCATTCTCGATTCGTTTTTCTCCGACCAATCGACCTAAAAGAATTCCAAAACTGACGTCATTTATCTGGCATTCGGATTGTTCTGTAGAACACTTTTCTACTTGGAATTCATTCGTATTGGTCAAAAAATATCTGTTTCCAACGTCATCATGCTCTTTGATGATCAATAAACACATCACTCGTCTGTCACTCGACTTAAGTCATCTTGGTCTTGCACTTGCGTTAATACCATACGTACCTGCCCTTGAACACTTCGAGATTCGTCTATATGATATACGTCTACAATATTCAACGATGACGTCGGAATTTCTACAAGAACGAACGTGGAGCGCGAAAGTCAAATCGTTACATGTGATTGCTTATGATCAACTAGTGAATACGAAAAGCTTTTGCGGGTTTGTGAAGTTGTTCGCTTGCTCACTTGAGCATTTATCATTCTACATTGGTACACAACAGTGTTATCTCATGGTTGGACGACGTTCATTTGAGCGACATCTTCTCTCTCATTTACCAAGTTTGAAACAGCTTAATTTCTGTGTCCACAGTGGATTGATGAATTCAGACGACGATCGTCGTCAAACATTTGACAGCTGGACAAAAACACAAGTCATTTCAATTTTTCACAGACGCCAAAGTCATACACGATTCACACTACCATTTGTCTTTGATCGGGTAGAACACGTTTGCAATGGTTTTGTCGAGTTTCATTCGAATATTCACTCGATTGATTTTGTTTTGTTACTTCCATCCGTGCGTATCATTTCTTTCGCTTCTTATGGGAGATTGACTCTCGCTCTTTTTACACTCATACGTCAAGCATGTCCTCATCTTCGTCGTATTCACTTTAAAAAATTTTGTAATCTAGACGATGATCTTATTCGAGATACTCAATTATCATTAACAACAGTCACTGAACTCTGTCTTGACGATGTCACTTTGGTAATGAAATTCGTCGCCTCCTATCGTCTTGTTTGCTTGATTCCTAATCTTCAACACCTGACAATCGAGAGACGTCATCTTGCAATGATCGCCGCTAACAATGATCAAAACAATATGTTCAAACACACTCGCCAAGTGATTATAGTCGAAAATCAATCTCAATCAAACAAAATTCAAGACAATATCGACCAAAATATCATTCACAAAATCTTTCCTCAAGCGATTGTCACTTATCGAACAATAGAATTTATCAATGTCTTATAAATAAATGTCAGATTACAGATATGTACATTCATATCGACCCGAAACTACTTAAGACTTATGCATGAACAGAAAAGAAACGTATCCATAGTGCCCAGTATTTTCTTTCATTCTTCCAAAGAGTAACTAACGAATACGCACGTGCGTGCAGAGAGGTCGACGGAATTAACTTCAATAATGGTATAAAAGATAGATAGCCATTGTTTGCAACAATACAGATTAACTTAATAATGCCGCTCATTCGAAATGTCAAACCTGACCAGTATGATTTGCAGCCTAACGCTTTAGCAACTACAGGAATTTGTACTTGCATTGGGGTGGTAATTCATTTGGAAAACGGAATCTTTATTTGTCATATGGATCCAAGTGATTTTGGCCTTGCTGATACGTTAACTCTAATGGATGCACACCTTTTTTTCTTCAAAGTGTTCACAACACTAATGGAAAAACAGTCTGATGCTGTAATAAAGAGCGTTTACGTACTCGGCGGTCAGTCTTCCAATAATTATTTCCGATTCAAAGATCAGATCAATGATATGCAAAATTATTTTCGGTCATCAGTGGTGAATCAGGTGCGTACTAAGTTTAGCGCATTTGTTTCTGCGATTAAAATGATTTTGGTCACATTCAACATACAGAAAAAGATAATGATGGGAACAATGTAGATGAAGATGTCAGTGATCATCCAGATCATTTTATTAGTGACATTACTATACTGTTCGATCAAAGTTGCAATCCGCCAACATTTGTGGTTTGTCAATATGCCGGCACTGAAGAAGATATGGATTGTGATAGAAACCAATCTAACTTTTTTGCCATTTATAACATTGACATATCGAGCAACACAATGACCGTATACATACGACGATCAAACATTTGGAATTCCCCTTTCCGGACAGAACTGGTTGAAAAAGTTATCATGAATGCTGGGGATGATTCTTTCGTCTATCTATCCGATTACAAAACAGATCTCGAAGTAAAAATTCAAACACTTTTGACTCAAATCGAAAAATCATCAATCTTAGACAACGATGATAACGATGAATAACATTTGAAGATTTCACTTGTAATTTTAGTTAAGTAAAGTTCAAACACATGATCCTCTTATATATCAAAAATATTTTATTCATTGCTCGGCAAAGATTCCTACTATTTCGTGTTTGTTTTGAGATCCATATTAAGTGTTCTCATTTTGATACGAATATCAGAACAATTTTCACTGCTATTGTTATGTGTTGATAATGAAGAAAGACTCATCGATTGTTTTAGGCAATAAATCAGTAGGTCGGATAGCCGAGATTATCTAAAACAGAAAATCGAAATCAAAGATCATATGAAACGAAGGTGTAATTTTATCCACTGTTGTTGTCAAGTGATTTGATATCAATAAATGATGATGTAACGACGATCGAGGAAATTCTGATAGAATTGAAATCATTAGAAACAGAAACGTTTTTAGTCACCTGTGTGGAATGTATTAAGAAAAAAAACGCAGTGAAACAGTGCGGTCTTCATTCTACAAAAACAACTATGACGAATCAAATGAATACATGATTTTGCAATAAATTCGTCAAACAAAACGAAAATCAAATATGAATATAACTCTGTACTATCGATTATTTTATATGTAGAAATTTTACGAACATATGAAATTTGTTCGTGCTCAGTTTAAAGACACAAAATCCATTCGACAATCAGCATTACAAAAGAATGATAAAATAACCATTCAGATAGATTGGTGAGAAAATTATCATTTAGAACAGGCGAGGGAAGAACGATGTGAGTTACTATACAAATTCAAATGATACTATTGAAAATTATTTCGTTTTATTTAACTGCATATTATTATTAGAAGAAAATGTTTCGGTAGTGGCAGGTTATGTATGACAAAAGGATAATCATTTTAGTTTTGGATATTTATCCGATGAAACAAATCATCTTTCAGAGAATACATGGATGCTTATCCATGATATATTGAATGAATTGTTGAAGAAACACGTGTTATTTTACACAAATCAATGAATTGAATATCATTTCTTCGATTCATCATCAAGTCAATATCGAAATAAAACTACTATCTAATTTTTAAAATAATTGGAACTTCTATTAAACAGTTATTTGATGATACTGTTCGACTAAATCCTGATCAATCATTCAATGGTGTTGATGATTTAATGAGTAAGATAAAAGAATTCAGCGAACATTCGCCTGTATTTACATAAAAAAAGAAAAGATCGATTTACTAAGAAAAAAATTTACAACAGTTAAAAGGCACGTCTTTTTCCACGACATTATTGCCAAATCTAATGGAGAAGAGAAAAATGTTATCAATTGAAAATACATGTTTTTGCCTGTTTCTTCTCTTATAATTTGTTGTCAATGAAAAAAGAACTTTTTTCTACTATGAAAAGTATCAAATCAACAGAATAAAAATCTTTGTTTTCATAATAACATATGTCATCAAAACGGCAAATCGTCAAAAAGAAAAACGTCGACTATTGTCGTTTTTAAAACAGACAGATTTATTTATATGACGCTTTGAAGTAAATATTTATTATTAAGATAGATAATGAATTATTCTATTTCGACATTACAATTGAACAAATATCTGTACGAGATATCTATGTGCACATTTCCTTATTTGGCTAAATCCATATTATGATGAATCAAACCAGGAATATCAAAAAGTAATGATTTCACTTCGACATGTCAATCGAGTCGTGAAAATATTCCAAGATATCGATGAATGCATTGATTTCATTACAGATAAAAGAACTGAGAAAGTATTTCTCATTGTCTTTGCTTCTCTCTATCAAATGTTAATACCTCTTATTCATGAATTGTACCAATTGGATTCAATTTACATATTTCATACGAATTCACAATGTACACAATTGATAAAATCTTGGTCAAAAGTGCGAGGTTTTTTCACAGAAATCGATCAAATTTGCGACAAATTTAAACAAGATGTCAAGCGCACCGATTACAACTCAATTTCCTTCAGTTTTATCTCACCAAATGATATATTAAGTGCGAAAATCTAAATAAACTCGATGTGTCTTTCATGTATTCACAAATAATCAAAGAATTTTTTCAAGGTCTAGTCGTCTGTTTTCGTGAATTATTCGATGAAAGCGATCCAGAAATACGGATCTTTACTAAATTGGAACACGATTATTATTCTCAAACACCAATATGGTGGTATACATATCCATGTTTCATTTATTCTTTATTGAATCAAGCATTACGCACTCACGAAACTCATGTTATCATCAAAAAGGGTGTTTTTATTCGAGATCTCCATCGACAAATTGAGCAGCTTCATTCTGATCAAGCAAATAATAAGCAAATGCAATCATTTATTGCCTATCGTGGTCAAGGTTTATCAAAAGTTGATTTTGATAAAATAATGAAAAACAAAGGTGGACTCATATCCTTCAATAGTTTTCTGTCAACAAGTAAAGACAGAGATGTTGCTCTTCTGATTGTTGATGCCAATGGAAATAATGAAGATACGATAGGAATACTTTTTGAAATGACTTTCACCGATCTATTTCATCATCTCCTTTTGCCAATATTGATCAAGTCACTTACTTTAGTCAATTGGAACAAGAAATTCTCTTTTCAATGCATACTGTTTTTCGCATTGCTGATATCGAGAAAATCGACAATAACAATCGTATTTGGTAAGTGAAGTTAACGTTAACTGACAACACTTACGAGTTGCTCAATTGTTTTACCGAATATATTCGATACGAAACTCGAGAATCGACGGACTGGGATCGATTAGGTCAATTATTACTTAAAATAGATGAAAAAGACAAAGCTGAAGAAAGGACACATGTATATTTTATGCTGGGACATATTAAATTTAATCAAAATTACAATGAAGAGGCGCCGTCTTTGTCAGAAAATTCGCTCTCCGGATCATCTTGATATTGGTGCTTGTTATGAAAATATTGGCATCTATTATAAACGCATACATGATTACGAAAAAGCGCTTGAAATTGGAAAATCTAACTTGCCTCCTAACCATCCCGTATTTGCCGCAATCTATGACGCTATGGCTAAAGTGTACTCTGATACAGAAGAACACTCGAAAGCAATTCTATTCACTGAAAAAGCATTAGAAATCAAACGAAAATGTCTCCTCGAAAATCATTCATCATTTACTACTTTATACGATCGACTCGGTACGATATATCAGAGTACCAAACAGTATTTAAAAGCACTTTCAGCTAATCAGATGGTTCGCATTGGTTGAGATCTATCTATTTATTGGTAATGTATACAACGAAATGAAGGAATATTCAAAGGCTTTGCTAACTTTTGAAAAAGCTCTTGAAATTCATCAACAATATCCATCTTCACATCAATTCAAATGGGGTCATATCTATAATAAAACTGGCATAATATATTTTAACGAAGGAAAATATGTCAGAGCGATTTCATATTTTGAAAAATGTCTTCAAATACAACACCAAATCGACCCTTTTGAAATATGTCGATATAGCCGCTACCTATACCAATATTAGTGCTATTTATTGTAAAATTGGCGAATATTCAAATACACTTTTAGCTATGAGAAGGCATTAGAAGTGCATCAATATTCATTTTCTTTTGATGAAGTTAATTTACCATTTCTTTATAATACTCGCGGTTTCATTTATTCCAGTATGAATGATTATCCAAAAGCATTGTCACATTATGAACTCGCCCTTTGATATTGCACAAAGTATTTTACCATCGAATCATCCTCATGTTGAGCTGTTCAAAAAAAAATCAAATTATTAAATGAAAAAATGTCACGATGAACTGTTTGCATTTGTAATAAGACATGCTGAAATTGATAAAAAGAATGATGATTCATTGTCTTTACAGAGGACAACCATAGTCAAAATGATCAAATAGTATAATGTCTTGGTGCTATTAAAATAAAAACATCAACTATTTCTGAGATTAGATTGTGAACCCATTCATCAATTGTTGATTGAGATACTGGAAAACCCCAAAATATGAATAATGGAACTAAACTTCGAT